TTTGATAGCGAAGCTGGGTATGCTTGGGGTGGAATTGGCATATACGCCCCATTCCCTCTTACTCATGTCAGTATAATTGACTATGCTTTTGTTAATACTAGAATGCTTGAAGTAATTATTTTGTTGCTGATGAGATACTGAGTGGAACACTTCAGGAAACATGCCAGCTAGCCTGTGACAGATATTCCTGAACTTGTTGACTTCATTTTTTTCTTCATTCTTGACTCCCAACGATCAAATAATACCATTTTCTTAAGTAAAGTTATCAAGCCTTATCTTTTATCACCCTCCTTTAATGTATGTAGTGAGTGTATGTGTAAGTATATGTGTGTATTCCATTTCACTGAGTGGAGCATGCTAGGATTAGCATGTAACTCATAGCACTTTAGCTACAGTACTGTAATCTAGATACCAAAATCATTGTAAACATAACAAAGAACAAAAAATAATAAATATTGACCTAAAGCTGTTTCAAATCATTACATACACTTGTTTCAACACAAAATATTAAGAACACTTTCTTGATCACTGCTGAGTTTACCTAATTTCATAATTTCTATTTTTACCTTTAACAGTGCAGGTACATAGGATTTGCATCTGTTTAGCCAGTATATTTAATATAATTTTTCAACTTCTGTCTCGCTTATTCTTCATTCAGTTTTCTGGATATATTTTCAAATGTAAGCAGAATTCCACTAAATATTCAAGGCAAATATAAGTACTTTTATGTATAATATTGTATTCTAATTATTAAAATGACTTTCTGAGTAGAACTATTGAACAATGTTGTTTTTTTCCAGATATGTAACATTCATTTTTTAGAGTAGATTATTGTTTTGGGGGGACATTCACACCTGCCTAATCTTGCTCAGAAAAGTAAATGATTGAAAAATATAGCTCCCTTTTCCTCCTCCTCTTCCTCTTCTTGTAATGTCTTTTGACTGTCAGTTATTGTGAATGTGTGAAATAAAACCATTAATCAGTCAGATAAATGCTGTTGTGGTATATTTATAAATGGTATGTTTCTGTGTAAATCTTGTAAGCAAATAATTTTATCTCAAAAGTAGAAATGCTACTAACATTTCCCAAAGACTTCTGTGATAAATATTAACTATTGTAACTTACAATCACAGAATTAGGGACTGTCTTAAAATTGCATGTAGTATATTCTTAAATAAGTAGCACTGCAATGATTTGACAGTGATCTTGAAAAGAGCTGTTATGTAACTGGCTAAGGCATAACTTGTTTCTCATTGGTGGCAGTAATCCCCCCCCCTTTTTTTTTAGTATGAAGGCAAATTTAAGTTGCTAAAAGTTAAATAGAAAGGGGATTTTTATTAGACACTAAAAACAGCTCTTAAATGTAGCTTTAGGCTCAGAAATAGGAACAGAGAAACAGATCTTGTTTCTGTTTGTTAAAAAGAAAGAGATGAACATTTTTCTGTGCCACTTCAATAAAAGCTGACACATTGATTGTTTTTTAATTCTTTTGCAGAGGCATACAGACTTTTTCTAATGGCAAAGGATGTTGTACTTAGTGTCAGTTGTTATAACAAACTTATCAAAGCATTACTCAGCCATGGTTCTGTTACAGAAGCAATGGAAGTAAAAAAAATGTAAGTCTTTTTATGCATCTATCTTTATCCAGGTATGGGTAATTTTGCATATACATTATTTCGTACTTCTCCTGTTGCCTAAGGACAATGTAATGTACTGGACTTTCCGCTATATATGGTGGATCAAAAGAAGTCGATATTCTTAAGTCATCTGGTAGTTAATAGTCCATCATGACCAGTCATGCACTTGGTATGCTTAACAACTTAACAAATGCACACATAATCAGACACTTCTTATGTGTGGGTAGTCCTGGGGTCACAAGACCAGGGAACAAATATTACAAATGTCAGTTCTCCTGACAGAATCATATGAATAGGAAGAAATGTTATTTAGCGCATCAGGCAGTTTTGCCTCGTGGATAAAATCCCCAGTATGGAGTTGTATGGAGTACAGACCTGAATATGCAACTATGCCCACACATTTCCTCAATTGCTTGAATCTCTTAAAAGAACTTCCTTGAAGTAAACTTACTAGCATGTGGATTGGTTTTATATGGAGAGAGAGAGAGAGATGTATTACATGCAGAAGATTGTCTGTGTGGCCAGCATCTCCAACTGATCCACTGCATTGGTGGTGAGTATCAGCTGTGAATACTGAGGCTGTTGGAAGACTGAATTATCTTTAATGTTGGTTTACATTATAACCAATCCAGAGAGAGAGAGATTTTGAATCAGAAGACTGTTGAAAGGGCATCTTATTATAACAACAACAATAACAACAGTAATAGTAATAGAATTAAATAGTTACTAGAAAATAACCTGAGGAGATTTTCATATATACCAAAAGTAGAGATTTATCTTAAGTAAATAAAATACAGAAACATAAAATTACCAACAAAAGTTGACTTTTTCAAAAAAAATAATCTGCTAGAAATCAAGATGAAATGTACAGAAAACAGTTAAAGCCAGATTTAAATTGTGAACTAATTAAAATTGTACTGAAATTATTTAAAATAAAATGATAGGGTTAAAGTGAAATTAAAAAAAATTAACTTCAGTATTTAACCCTAAAATCTTTCCTGTAATTGTCTATGTTTGGACATGATGCAGAACTAGGAATTAAATGGTTACTAGTAAATAACACAAGATTCATGTGAATTAGCTCCAGCTCTACAGTCCATTCCATTTGCCCTTCCCAGATGCATGGAAGAAATTTGGAAACTTTCTCTTCTGCTTTAGCTAACTCTGCTTTAGCATAATTTAGCATTATGTCTCAAATCCAAGAACACTATGTTTAGTTTTTATTATGTTTTAAACTTGCAACTGAACTTAAAAATAAACACCACGAGTTGTAAAAATAGCCTGTTTCAATAAAACAACATAAAAACTGTCCATCTTCTCTGGAGAAAGAGAGAATGAGAGGCAGTATAGAAGGTTTATATATCTAATGCTCAGCTAAATCATGCTTTACCGTTGCATCCAAAATGGATTGCCGTATAGATACTAATCCAGAAAATAAAGAATGGAGAAACACAGAAATTCTCTTAACCAAATGGCAGCTTTATGTAACAGGAGAGGCCCTGATAAAAAGGAAACTACTCACCTTGCTGCGGTTTGCATTAATTTTGATTCATAAGATGTACATACATTATGTGTCAAAACAAAGGATTTTCAGGATTGCTCAGTAAGTTGCAAACAAATCACTAGGACTGCTGAATATTCAATAGATTATAGAGAAATAGCTTTCCAACACATTGGCAAAGGTTAACACTTTTGGGAAAAATCAAAGCAGTCCAGTAAATCAGGACACAATTCATTTTACACAGTCTATTATCTTGTGACCAGCAGACACAAAACACTAAAATGAAAAATCAGTGTGCTAATCCAAGTGAAATGCTATAAAATTTTATATAGGAGAACTCCAAGATATTTTGGAGAACTCTGCCTAGTTCACAGTAAGTAAGAAATAATAAGTTATTACTTTCTTTTTTCTAATTTTATGGCTAGATGTTTATTTTTAAAAATATAAATTTCTGACAGCTAAATTGGAAATATTGAATGTTAGTGCCTTTATAAAAAAAATTATTTTCTTATTATTTTGGTCAGCCCAGAGATCTTGATGAAATTTAGCTGCATTCTAAAATAGAAATGTAATAATTTTGAAATAGGGGATTAGGTCTGTAATAGCGGCTAACATTTATTTAACTGCACTAAAGATTGGAAGATTGGGGAAAGTAAATCCTTTGTTATATGTTATTTACAGTTCTGTGCATGAGTTTTTTGACTTACAGGTTTTGACAGATGGGGCAAACGAAAAAAGCAGAAATGAGCAATGGGGGCTTAGGCAGGGATTAAGCAGATTGGTTTGGAAGAGTAAGGAAATCCTGAGGGCCCCAGAGGCTGAAAGTGACTGAGAGGAGGGTCATATTAGGAACTTAGTGGAGGATTTTCTTGAGATTGAGGAGAATAATTTAGCAATGACTCTGTTTACTTTTAAATCCGCTCAGTTCATAAATTCAGAAAGGTGGGCTGTTCTGTTGTTTCTCACAAGATGATCCCTGTGGTTTATCCTGATTGTTGGTGCAGCAAATGGCAGCCTTGTATTCACTCCTCTCAGGGGGCACTTTAAGAGTAAAGTCTATATTTAATTATGTGGGGACCATTTAAAGACATGGACATGAAAATAGAAAAAGGTTTTCTGATCAGTATGTTCAGAGTATATCTCTTTTTCGAAAGGCTTTAATCAATATTAGTAAAGCTAATTTCTTCCTGCAGTTTCAAGTAAGTGAAGTTCATTTTTGTTTTGTTTTTGCCTTTTGAAATACAGAATTGATGAATGATGAAATTTAGTTTTAGGACAGCAAAGTGATAAAGTTTTTTTTTTTTTTTAATCCTGCCTATGTCTAGATGACAGAAATTTGAAAATTAAATCAACTAAATTATACAGAGATGGTTCATAATATCTCTTTAATTTGTATTTAAAATATACTGTGCTGAAAATAAATGTTTCATTTTTTTTATTGCAGGAAGAATGGTTTTACATTTTATAATTATGGTGACTGTTTTAAAAAGAAGAACAAAGTATCCCGCTTAGGATACAGCAGAACAATAGTGGGCATGCAGTTATTTTCGTCATGTAATATGTCAGCATTTAAGAATCTGAACCGATTGTTTAAAAAAATCTTGTACTTTGTTTCTTTTGTTGCTCATTTCCAACTTTGTCATCTGTCAGAATGCACAAAAAAATTATCCTTCTATAACCATTGACAGGATAACACAAAAGCTGTCTCCAGGTCGATATTTTGCAGCAATATTTTTAACATACGAACAGTAGTTTTTATAATTTCACCTTGGTGCTCAACCATTTATTATCGTATCAGAAGCATGTCAGTAATTCCTTTCTAAATGTCTGCTTCTTTTAGCGCTGAGAACCACATCAAGGGCTTCGTGCTGAACGATGCTGCCAGCAGCCTCCTCATCTTAACGCAAGTTAGGCGGGATTATTTGAAAGGTATGTCACAATGCTTGACCTTTACGTCACATTAATGCCTCTGCAGATTTTTCTTGTAACGCCCTTCGAATACTTGGATAAAGGAGTCCATTTAGCAAATTACCTGCTTATCAAGCGCCTTTTGTGGTAGCTGAGAGACGTAAATTACTGTACATGCATTTATAATACAGCTTGAATATGAATGTACTTGTCATTTGACCACTTAGTCCAGTTTCCGTTCCATTTAACACAAGATGGGTTTTCTTAAGATGAATCACAGCTCTTCAGACATGCAAAATTTGTGCTCCAGAACGAGAGAAAGTACAGGCTTTCAAATGCGTTAAAATTCACAGCACAATTCATTTTGCTTTGGAAATTAACATACCTTAGAGCATCTGAAACAATTCCCAGCAGTTTCTTCCTGCACAATGTGTTGGTAGCACAAGATATCAAGTGAGTTAAATTGAGTGTTAAATGTGCGTGGCTGTGCACTAAATGTTTATAATACTGATTTTTAAAAAACTTAATCTAATACTTTTAATAGTTCTCAGTGCCAGCAGTAATAAAACATACATTGTCCTTTCGTTTTGTGCTCTTTGTAAACTTGCTTTGCATGGTAACAGCAGTGTTGGCTGAACAATGTAAATGCTTGTGAATGCAGCGGTGGACAGTTTTACTGTTAGACTATATTCATCTCTTTGAGGCTAGTTTGGCTTCATCTTGGACATTCTACCTCCAATATCTACTGATTTTCTCATAGCAAGGCCAGTGAGGTCTAGGATCACAAAACTGAACCTTGCACAAATTACAGTTTTACACCACAGTTGTTATGGATTACTGCTGAAAGTATCTTTTTTGTTTTTCATCAAATGCTTAAATGCATCTTTTCCATATTTTATTTCATTTGTAATCCTAGTTTAGCAAATGGCCTTCTTCAAGGTAGGAAGACTATTGCTAAATTATTTAGTCTCATGAATTCTCTTGTCAAAGAATACATCTTAGTTTAAATATGTCAGGGTTGGACAATCTGTGGCCAATAACATAATATTATACCGTTATTGGTTTAATGAAAGAGTCCACTGTAAGATGTATGAGTTTAGATCTCTGGTAAGAATTATCTGTCCCTTAGCAGTCCACAGTGTGGGAAGATGTAAAGGTGTCTGAAACAAAACAGAAAGAAAGTTTACCAGGAGGAGAAAAAAATGTGGGAAGAACTGTGGATGGCCTGTCCATATTTTGCTTTGGCCCTACTTATACTCAGCTTAAGCTCCATGTGGTTCCCAAGTGATTATCCCAAGGGAATCCCTTCAACAGAAATAATTGCCCATCAATCAGCTGCCATGACCCTATAGTGCCAGACATGATACCTGAATCTCAAAGTAGTTGAGAAGTCACTGGGAGAACAGCTTCTCCTCTCTACCCTTCCTTAGAGACTAGTACTTAAGCAAAATTTCTATAGCATAGCAGCTCATCTGATTGTTCTCCCATAATTTATTTGTTTGTTTGTTTTTTGGCTTCCTCTTGGGCAACAGCTAAAGAATGCGGTAAAAGATTGGAGGGGCCTCCTACTTAAAGCAGTTGGACTAAGCGTTGAACTTCTTTGCTTTTATCTGACCTGCCGCTCCTCTGATTTCTACATATGTGTCTGCTTCCCTTTGGCTTTTCCCTTTCTTCAGGTACAGCCACCATATCCTGGCTTGCCCTCAACAGTGGCCAGTGAAACACTTGCACGTCTTGAGATCATTTCTCAGTACTGATTGCATTAATCTCCCTTCCTCTGTGCTGTTCTTTATGTAGCCAATTTTTTATTCTTTTAGAACAGAGCAGGGAAGCTAGGACAAAAACTGAATCTAATTGAAATTGGATTGAAATTCTTCATTTTAAGAATACTTAATATGTTGTGCAGATATGACCTACCTGGACCAAGGATGCTCTAGTGAAGTTAATTCATGCCTTGATCATTCCCAGTTGGACTACTACAGCATGTTCTATGTCGGGCTCCCTTTGAAGATGACCCAGAAACTACAGTTGGCACAAAATATAGGGGCTAGATGTTTGATGGATTAGTCCTGTCAGGCAAGAAGAACACTGATTGTGCAGTCACTGCACTGGCTTCGCTATTGGCTTCTGGGCCCAATTCAAAGTGCTGGTTATTATCTCTAAAGCTCCTTACAGTGCAGTATTAGGATATATCAGGCAACACTTAGCTAAAATCAAATCTGACTGACCAGTCCATTCCCCTAAAGAGGGCCTGTTGCAGGTCCCCATCTCCAGAGGATTCACTGGCATGGGTCAAGCAATAGCCCTCTCAGAGGTGGCCTCCATTTTATGGAACACTCCCCCCTGGGGGTACAGATGGCCTCTAATTTACAGACCTTTCAAAACCTAGCCAGAGTAATGCTGTTCCAGCAGGTGTTTGGCCTTAGAGTAGTTTAATACAGTAGTGTGTGTAATATGTTAGATTTGTACTGATTGTTTTTATTGTTTGCATGGGATTTTAATATATGGTTTGTGTCTTGACTTTATTATACCCCTACCCATAGTCCATCTGGATTTCGGCAAGTATAAATATTGATAAATAAATACTGATGCCTATCACAGTAAAAATTATAATGCAGTGTGAGCTTGTTGCCTGCAATGTTTTTGCAAGGTTTTATGTTCTGCACTCCTGTTTTAAAAGGGGAAACCTGATTTTAAAATGTGCAGTACTCAAGCAAAGCTTGTATATATACTTTGTCACAGTCTGATTGCAGTGTCTGAATAGACACCATGAAGCAGTTATTACACAGTTCAAGCTTGACACTTGATGTGATAAAGTTAAGTTCAACCAAAGGCATGTGGGCCTTAGGAGTATTCTATAGAATTAGGTAAAAAATGCCTCTTTTGGATTTTGTTTTCATTTATTAAGAAAATATGTTAAAGTAAGCAAGCTACTTTTGAATTCATTGCATTGCTTGGTAAGAGTTAGTAAGGATAATTTACTGTTAGACAAGGCAAGGTAATCTCTGCTCTTTTACTTTCTTTTGCCTGCACAGCAACTTGAGATTAAAAAGATACTGCAACAGACTGTCTTTTTCAGAATGTTCTCAAGATTGCAGCCTAAATTTCCTGCAGCCTTTTTCTCCCCCTCAGACCAACACAGGCTTCCTGCCTCAGCTTTTGTGGGCAGAATGTCTTATTTTCCATCATTTTCAATCCCTGAGGAATTCTCTTGTGTTGAGCAGAAAAACTCACATGGTACAACATCTTCAGGAGTCATCTTCTGGATCTCACCCAACAATTCACTCTTCAGCAGTCTTCTCCAGATTTGCCCTCAAACTGACAATGATTTCAGCAGTATAACAGTATAACAATTCAGGATAGTAAGGCAGCATTGTTCTTACTGAAACCAACCATACATTTTCAGTCTTAAATTGCACCACTCGTTACACTTCCTCCATCAAAGTTCTGCTTCCCAGAGTCTTCTCTTAGGAATCCGCCTCTGATGCCACCTCAACAACTGCTCTTTCTCCTACAGGAACATTTTCCTATGGAAAACTAAGCTCTGTCTTCTATTTTCAGGTTCTACCTATCCACAGAATGCTTGTTTGAATGTATATATGGATACATGAACAGCCTGCATTTAGCCATGGCTGAATGCAGACTGTCACAATATGTTTGCTGCCTATTCTTGATACTTGAAAAAAATGCTAATGATAACATAGCATATATTGTTATGTTACTTGCACATAGGAATCATATTTCAAATGTGAACTGAGAACTGAGGGTTTTACCTGTGATTAAAGTATTAGGATCTGGCCATCCTATTAATTGCCCCTTGGGTTCTGATGGTTTTTGTAAATGTATGAAGAGCAGCATAATAACAAATGAGGCATGAGAAATAAATGCCATAATCCATAGCTGGTTTTAGTTTTTTAATCAACCTGGAAGCATATAAAAATGAGAAATGATGAATTGCTATCTTCTAGAATTGGTTAGAATATATTGATATTCATATGAAAGTGATGTATTTTTTTTACTGGTTTTCTTGGGTGGTGGATTATGGGATATATATGTATTTGTTGCACATGTTGAGTGCACCAGAATTTTTAAAATGAAAATTAACACTTAACTGTCATGGCTAAAAAAGTTGGAATTATAATCTTGATCAATTATACATACATACAAATCAGATGTTTGTAAATTTAGTCTAAATTATAGTGATCAATTTTCAGTAAGGAAGTAGTCACATTTGTACAGTAAAACCTTTTAATTTTAGTAAAACTTTCCAGAAAAAAAGATGTTTCTGGACCTCCATTTAGTGGACTTCAGATGCAACAAACTTTTTTAAAAAAAGATTTCATCTCCAGATATTGTATCTGAAGCAGTCTGAACAATTTTTATATCATTTCTGTAATTATATAATTTATGTCTTTACAGAAATGACACAAGCTAGCATAAAAATATCAATTATGTAATGATATATTTCATCAATTTGATTTAATAGACATTGATTTAAATGGGAACTGCTCCTCCCCACCCCCATCCCCAATGGCCCATTAAATCAAGGTTTTACTGGAATAATATTAGTCTTCAGATTCTGGCAGCATATAAATATGTGAAATAATAAAATAAATAAATAAATATTGCTCTCTAATTATTAATTACTGATGAAAATATGTATGTGCATGTATCTATTCTAATGCTATCTTTTCATTCTTAGTAATCCATATATTTTTTTATACATGTGCCAGTTAGTTCCTTTTAGCAATGTTAGTGGTATGTGGGGGAAGGGACACTGGAAATTTAATTTTAATTTTTAATTATTTAGGGTGGGTAAGTAAACATTGTGTTCAGTGGGACCATTTGGGATTTTGAAAAATTGTTGTGGATGCTCTGGCCACTGTGCCTATTCATAATCAATTAGGATGGAGGCATGGCCAGGCACCAAACATCCATTTACCTGAAGGCAAACTGTTGTGATTATTTCCCACCCTTTCCTCTCGTCCTCTCCTGCCACAGGATGTTCTCTACAACCAGAGAGTGGTTTTTTTTTCCTGTTTAGATATCACACTAAATTCTCTCAGTCGATTATGGTAACATGAGAATGCGGCTTTTGATTCAGCTGTAAATATGTTCCATACTCCTTTTCAAAAAAATCTTTTGGAAGGAATGTTGCAGGGTTTTAACCTTTCCACTGCTGCTGTTAGCTGTAGGACCTACCTGAGAATAAGCAGAAAAGATTGGGATATTTTGATATATGACAGAGGGTTTTATCATAAAAATTGGGTAGAATGCATAATTAAGTGTTGATTATTTTGTTTTTCAAGTTACCATTTTCAAAAGCAAGTATCAAAAGTTGAACTGAAATTTATCATAGGTGAGCACTATGGAGTTGTCGGCCAACTGCATAGTTGACCCATGAACCTGCCATTTTTTACCCTCGAACCCCTCCAAGATGGTGGTGCAGGTTCTGAACATCTTTTAGTGGTGAACAACATAAAAATTGTGTGTTGGACCATTGATCAGCTTAACAAACCTAGAAAAGCAGTGTTTGAGGAGGTGGTGGCATGGAAACATGGTACTTTACCTACCTAGTATCATCAGTGCATGATTCCCTTGCCTACTGTGGCTGTTAACTATTAAAAGATAAGGAGGTAGGCTTGGAAATGTGGACCAAGCCATCAAAATCTTACATTCAAGATATACATAGGAACAAATATGTTTTGAAGAACAGACTGAAAAAGCTATGGCAAGCTTGAGGAAAAAGATTGGTAAGATTTTTCAATCTTTTTCTTATTGTTAATTAGATTTATAAATATGTAGTGTAATATCAAGATCTACTATTCTCTTGAATAAAGTCTCTTTTTTAAATCTCTTCAACAGAAGCAATGTCTTCTCTCCAGACCCTTCTTAAAAATAATAAGGAACCCACTCAACTAGCAGTTACTCGGCTTGTTCAGGCATTCGCTCAGAAGGGAGATGAAGAGAGTATAAGGGAAATTGAGAAATTAATAGAACCCCTCCATGGGACTCTTAAATTGCGAAGAATGCTTTTCATCAACAACACCGTGTTGGCTCGCATTAAGAAGTAAGCAACTCAATAGTGGATACTGCTTCTTTGTACTAGTGGGGGAAACAAGCATATGGTGACCTTGTTCTGTTGTCAGTAACCTTTTCTGTTATAATAGTTAAATACATACTAGAACTGGCTGCCATTGAAGATTCTTATCCTAGAAACAATGAATGTTGGAGTCTAATGAAATGCAAAAAGTGCAGGTTATTATTGGATAAGTGAACTTGCAGTAGGCTAATGATATCAAACTTACATGCTTATAAAACTCTGCCTACCTCAGTGAAGCATTGCCTTAGCGAACTCGTGTTAATGCTGTAATTCACAGCACAGTGCCCACCTGTTTAGGCCAATAAGCTTTACATGTGTGTTACATTTGCTTTGCACTCCTGTGATAATGCAGAATAATAAAAGATTAGCATGCAGATTATGAGTGACCTTAAAATAAATAAATGCAATTAATTGTCTAATGAAATGTTGGAAAATCCTTTTCAGATAATACAATATTTGGGGACATAGTACATTCCAATTACACTGTCTTTGTTGTCTTTACAGTATTAGTGCATAAATATCAACTGTATGTTTTCTGACATATTCTGGCTTCATTGAATGGTTTGATAGCACTTATTTAATGTTGGGTGTCTATGGGCTTATATCCATAAAAAATTCTTTATTTCTTTCTACTTCTTGTATGCACTGAATATATTTTAAATATATCAGTTAGCTGTACCCTGTCCTATTTATTTCACTTTTGTACCATCCTCTCAAATAAATTCAGTTGTTTTGACTCAGTCAATAGTTTGGTAGAATTATGTTACAGGTATGTATACCCCAGGCATATAAAATTATTGAGGATAGTCCTAATAAAGACTGGCAAGATAATTTGAAAAGGGAGAGGAATTTGGATAGAAAAATTGAAGAACCATTTTAACAAACCCATTTCCAAGCTCATGCTCTCTGTTTCTGGACATGTTTTAGCATCCTTCTAAGGAGAAGTAAGTGTTACACATTCTTAATGATATCCAAAATCCCTCATTAAAAACAGTTTAAACAACTAGTCTTTTGGAAATGTTTGCAGAATCAATCTCTCTTTTAAATATATATTTTATATAGAATATTATATTCTATTGTTTAGTTAGTAGCTCGTAACTAGTTAAACAGCTAGTTACCAGTCAACCAGACATCGTGATAGTAGATAAAGACCAGAAGACAGCGGTAGTGATAGATGTAGCAGTGCCAAGTGACAGCAACGTCAGGA